CTAGAAGTTTCTTCCACCAACTCAATCCCCTCTGGTTTTTGCAGCCAGAAGTTGTGGGGACTTATCTTCCTGGCACTGGAACCCTGGGCTGCGGGGCCTGGTGTGGGGGTGGTACTCCTCGCTCTAGAGATATCCCTCCCGAATTTTTATCCCACACTCAGATATGGGACTAGCCCGTTCTGTGTCTGCACCCCTCCTACCGGTCTGGATGGATGTGGTTTCTTTAATTCTGTAATTGTCAGACTTCCATTCAACTTGATTCTGACAGTCCTGAGTGATGATTGTTCTATATTTTAGTTGTAATTTTGATGTGGTTGTGTGAAGAGGTGAGCCACATCTGCCTACACCACCATCTTCTGGTATGTGTTTTTCACAACTTACATTTAATTCTTTTGTCCATTTTGAGTTTATTGTGTGTGGTATAAGTTAGTAGTCTAGTTTTTTTATTCTTTTTCTTTTTTTGCATGTACCTGTCTAATTTTTCCAACACCATTTATTGAAGAGGCTGTCTTTACTCCATTGTATGTGCTTGCTTTCTTTGTCAAATATTAAGTGACCATGTAGACATGGGTTGATTTCTGGGCTCTCTGGTCTGTTCCATTGATCTATATTCCTCTTCTTGTGCCAGTACCAGGCTATTTTGATTACAATGACCTTGTAGTATAATTTGATATCAGGTATTTTGATCCATCAACTTTGTTCTTCTTTCTCAATATTGCTGAGGCTATTCAGGATCTTTTTGGTTCCATATACATTTTTGGAATATTTTTTCTAGATCTGTGAAATATGTCATTGGTATTTTAACAGGAACTGCACTGAATCTATTGATTGCTTTGGGTAGTATCTTCCAATTCATAACATAGTATATGGATCCACTTTTTTGTTTCTTCCTCAATTTTTTTTCAATGTCCTATAGTTTTCCAAGTTTCTCATGTATCCTTGATATCATCCTCTTCTGTTGTACATTTTAACCTTTCTTATTTGAATCTTTCTGACCCTGGTTTTGCTGTTTACTAGGTTTGTAATTTGGGGTCATCATCTGACTTCCACAGAACCATTTTTCTCCATCAAAAAGTGCGAATACACTACTTAATTATTTTGTTACTGTGAAATGCCAATGAAAGATTGTATGAGCTCTGTGATTTTTGGGTTCTTCCAATCATTTTTGAACTTTCTTCAGCCATTTTGTCAAATATAAAGTGAGAATACACTACTTGTTAGGTTTATTGTGAAAGACCAATGGAAAAGCATATGAAAGTTCTTTGGAAAGTAAAGAATTTCTTTAAATGTAAGGCATTTTTGTTTTTCTCTTGTCTCTATTATGACTCATCCCTAGGAGTTGGCTTTTGTTAAGCATCCCACATCTCCACAGATTGATTAAACGCTGAGGGGTGGGGTGCGTGTCACAAAATAGCACTTACCTCTTTTTATTCTACACTCTCTAAGTGAGGGAAATAGGTGCATAAACAACGCATGTGTACATTGAATTCCACGTTCTTGGAATGCATTGTGTGGGATGGAGGAGGAGACGAGCAGCATCAGGAGAAAGCTCATTTCTTTGCCTCTCACAGTGCTTGCCCCACGGACTGACATAGTAGAATCCGCCCATTTATGGAACCAAATGTCTACAAGGTTAGAATTAGTTTGCCTTTTGTTACTATTCTGGTCTTCTTCTCAATTAGAACACAGGTTTCAGAGGCAGTTGTTCTATTTTACCATCACAGGGAAGTATGAGGGTACAATCTCCTGTTCCCATTCCCTTTTGACTGGTGACTGTCCTCTTCAAACAAAAAATTAACTAAAACCGTATGGTTTAGGGACACTCATATTCAGTACCACCTTAGACCTAGACGACGCTGTGCCCCTGCCCTATGCCCCGTGCTTTAGAGGGCCCTCCTTTGGCCATACCCGTCTCCTGGACCACTCTCCAAGGACTCCGGGCCCAAGGATCACCAGACAAAATGTCCCGAACCTATTTCCAGGACCTGCAGAGTCCCTTTCTGAGTTCCTACTTCCAAAAATAGGTCAAGCCATTAGACCCCACCCCCTGATATATGCTTTCCTACATTAGGGTGGCTACGGGTAACTGCTTCAGAGAGAGATTTCCAGACCTTTCCTAGCTTGAATGTCTGTGTATAAGGCTTCTTGAGGTACATGAAGACTGGGGTGTGGGAAGACAAAGAAGGTGTGCTGGGGGCCCAGGGGCCTCCGTTTGTACGGTAGCCCAGCCCATCAACTGTCAGGGGCATGTCTGTCCAGAGGAGCTTCTCTCTTCTGACCAACTGCTTATTTTATGGTTTTGGTTTTGTTTTTCTTTTAAGCCATAGGGAAACGGTTTTTATCACCACCCATTTACAGGCTGAGTATAGCTGGCTCAATATAGACCCGAATTGGTCTTTGAGAATAATCTCAAAGAGGGTGGGGAGGGTGGAAGGGTGACTTTCCTGAAGGGTGAGTCTCTGTGCCTCCCCTCTGTCTCTCCCCGGGTAGGCAGTGCTGCTGAGGCTTTGTTACGTGGAGAAAGGATTCTGCTGACACACTGTATTTTTATGAAAGAAGGCTAAGGGTTCCCTTATCTCTCCACACAAGGCACATCTGCCTGCAAACAGGCTGTCTGCTTCTTAGGGATTCCTTTGTCGTTTGGTTTCCTTTCTGAAGGTTGTAAGGCACAGTTTCATACATTCCTTTCCGTTCTCTAGAGCCAGGGGGAAAGTCATAATATATCAGGGCTCTTGCCGAAAAGCTTAAAATGGGCGCTGGCAGCTGGGATGTGGGGGAAGAGAGCTTTCCAGGGACAAGTGACCTGCTTGTTCAGCCAGTGAGAAGCAGGTTAGAGGAATGATATTACCAGACAGGCTTTATTGTTGGTCATCTCATAAGAGCAGGACTGTGTCTGGCAACCTAACCCTTTTTTAGGTATTTTGGGTCTCACCCACACCCTGGTATGTGACCTCTAGATTCCTTTCCTAATTGTCTATTGTGAGACCACAGGAATTAAAGATTTAAATTGGTGAGGAAATTTGGAGAGTTGTAAATCACCATTTTAAAAATTACAAATTATTAAAATTGAGAAACATAGCTAAAGTGGGAATGTCAACCAAGCTATGTTTGGAGAGTATATCTAAGGCGGATATTGGTCTTAGTCATGTTACAACAGACATTTTCTGTATAGGCTTCAGAGAGAAAGGTTAAAGGGAGAAGAAAGATTTAGCTTTTAGTCTATTTTAATCTGTATGATGGAGTCTTGTAAGTACATATTTCCTGTTTTAGAGGAACTGAAATTGCTTCTTAAGATTTGGAAAAGATCATTGAGTCTGTGGACAATTTCAAGTAACAATATATTTGTATTGTTTGTCTATATTGTGCTTCTTTATTGTCCCCCCCCAAAAAAAATGGTAACCATTTTACTCCTTCATGCTTCCTTTTTGTCACTGGTAAAATGAGGATGATGATTCTACCCTATTCCATAGAGGAGTTGAGATTAGAAAGTAAAACTAATTAATGTGGTTTTAGACTGTGCAACACACATGTATTATTGTTTGGACATTAATGTTTTAAGATTATATGTTCATTGATTCATTTGTTCAGCAGACTTTTTAAAAAACTTTCTTGATGCTGGGCACAGATACGGAGATAATAGATGTAGTTCTTACCTTTAAGAAACTTAAAATAATGTGAGGAAGATAGGCAATAATAAAAAAGTCTCATTCCTCTATTGTATTTACCATGTACCAGGTGCTGTTCTAAGCCCACGTTAACTCATTTGACATATATTAGCTCATTTAATCTTACTGCAACCTTATGAAAGAGATGTTGTGTTTAGCTACATATTATAGATAAAGAAATCAAGGCACAGAGGGGCTAAGTGACTTGCCTAAGGTCACACAGGTAGTGGTAGAATTGGGACTTGAATCCAGATATTGTAGCTCTAGAGTCTGTGTTCTAAGTCTGTGCTGACCAATACAGTAGTCACTAGCCATACAAGGCTTTAGAGCACTTGAAATATGGCTAGTCCTAATTGAATGGGGCTGTAAGTATGAATTTCAAAGACCTAGTGTGAAAAAAATATATAGAGTACCTCATGTTGAAATTCCATGTTGCAATGATAATATTTTGGAGATACTGAGTTAAGTTAAATATATTAAACTTAATTTCATTTTATGTTTGTGGCTACTAGAAAACTTAGAATTATATATGTGTTTTGCATTTGTGGCTTACATTGCATTTTTTTATTTTTTACATTGTATTTTTATTGAACTGTGCTACTCTAAGTCATTACAATGCAATAACAACAGTAATAGTAGCAGGTGACATTTATTGAGCACTTACTGTGTGCCACATACTGTGCTAATACCTTCACAAACCCTGCTTTAATTAAGCCTCCAAATAACTCTGTTTATCATCCCCATTTTATGGAAAGAAGAGAAGGTTTTGAGAAAGTCAGTAATTTGCCTGAGTTTAGTCAACTAGTTAATGACAGACCCCAAATTTGACACCATTTGTCTGACTTAGAAACCTGTACTTGTCCAGCACACTGTAATATACCGTTTCCAATGATATCTCAGGGCATTTTCTTTGTGTTTATTTTGTGAAGAATATTAAATATTGCATACTTCCATATTTGGTGTGTAGAAGTTCAAAATAAAAATCACTAGGTCATAAAATAGACACCCCAGAAGGGAGTTTCTTTGGCAGGGCCTTGGTCCTCAGTGAACACTGGCACAGTTGAGCACTGATACGAAGTAGTCAGTCAGCCTGTACAAATTGCCTTTCATTTTCATTCCAGTAGTTCTCTCAGGTCACTGGGCAATTTATGTCTCAACCCTCTTTTTTCATCGAGAAGATGAAGAAGGGCAACGCAGCTCTGCCTAGCTATTTAGTTTTCTTGGCTGAGAGAAAGAAAAAAATTGCTTTCTGTTACGTTGTCCCACGAAGTGCTGTTTGTGATCTAGAGAGCAACAAAATGCTGTCTAATAACCCCTGACTTTTCTTTTTTCTAGAGCAAAGACTCAGGAGGATTAAAGGCGGCTATGATAGAGTTGGTGGAAAGGTTAAAGTTCAAGAGCTCAGACCCTAAAGTAAGTATTGTTTTGGAATTTATTGGACATTGGTAACCCAAGTACAGGTATTCCCCCACTTTCTCAAAGTTCACTTTACTCCACTCTGCTTTGATGAAAGACCTACCTTAGTACCCGTTTTCACTAACTGGAAGAAATCCGAAAAGAATTTTTGCTTTTATGAAGAAACGCAAAAACAGCCTTCAGCCTTTGTTTTGCAATGAGTTGTTATAGAGGCAGCACAACTCTCAGCTGCAAGCGGCCCTGCCAAGCTCCTTCCTGAAGAACTACACTCAGCATCTCAGTATCAAGCCACTATAGCTTTGAATTGTGTCTGTGAGCATCTGTGTTTTATTTCCATTTATTTTGTGCATCCGTTAGCAAAATTGTAATAACGTATCAGCAAAGCCTAAGAGAGCTCCAAAGGGTGTTACGCTTAGTGTAAAACTGGTAATTAAGCATATTTGGTATGATTTTGTAGGTACTTTAGGGGTATGGGAACACTAAAAAATTTTCCATATAAATTCATGGTAATTGCTTCTTCGCTTTATGCTACTTCAGTTTGCAAAAGGTTTCATAGGGACAGGGAAACATGTATTTCATTCTCCTTGAGCTAAGTTCAAGGGATGTTACCAATCATCTATCAGCACACTGCATCAAGATCTAATTAAGCCTGCCCATCACAAGCAGTGTTCTCATATGCTTAGAGATAAATCATCTATTTTTCCCTTTCTGTATTTTATGACTTACAACACATAATCATTAATTGTTTTCCCTGAACTGCAGACAAGTGCATTTTTAATCTTCCTTTACCAGGCCTTTGAGACTATTGTCCTCTGTGTCCATTAAATTCAGCCAAAGGCATCTGAGATACTGATCAGCTTAATGCTGGGAACTGGAACAGGATCCAGACCCATCCAGTTGGTGTTCAGCATTAGCGTTTTGTCTCTCCCCAACTTACAGGAGCCAGCTGCCACTGCTAATGCTTTTGTCCTCATGACCTAGAGTCTGGTCTGGGAAATGGTTTAAGCTTCCCAGCTTTCTTTGCAAGATGTTGGGGGCTGTAGGACTGACATTCTGGGAGATGCCATACCAGGGTGGGGGTGGACTGGGAACTGAACAAGCTGGAGGGATTATGACTAACAGCCTCCCTTCTCCTACCCAGATACTTACTGTGGCACTACCTAGTAGTGGAGCCGGCTGGCTCTGCCTGAGAGTCAGAGCCTCTCACAAGTGAATTGGGAAAGGAGCATGATTGTTTGACTTTCTGTATCTCCTTTCTTTCCTTTCATTTAAAGTTCTTTGTAGGTGGAATAAGACTAACATTTCTTGAATACGTACTAAGAGCCAGGCACTGTGCTAGGAGCCTTACATACTTGTAAAAATAATTGTGGTAAATATACATAATGCAGTTTACATTTTTAACAATTTTTAAGTGTACAGTTTAGTGGCATTAAGTACATTCAAATTCTTGTCTAAATCATCACTACCATCCATCTCCTGAACTTTTTTTTTTAATCTCAAACTGAAACTCTGTACCCCTTAAACACTAACTCCTTATTCCACCTCTCTTCTCGCATACGTGTGATTACTTTAGCAACTCTATAAAGTACATTAGTTTTCCCATGTTATTGACAAGGACACTGAGGCTCAGAGAAGTAGAATCATTTGCCCCAAATCTAGTATAATTTAGAGCTGGGATTCAACTCTGACCCCACTGCCTGTGCTCTTCTATATCATGTTGCAGACCAAGCCCTGGGTTTCATCTGCTTTCCATCATATAATCACATTGTGCCTCTTTTCTAATCTGAAGTGCCATAAGAGGCAGAGCCATGGGAAATGATAGGTTCTTCAAGAGTTAGCTCCAGTTACTAATCACAAAATAATTTCCTCTTCGTACAGCATTGAAAGTTTTGGAGCATCAGTAATTTTCTTGTCTTCTGGTATAGTTAGGGTTCTAGAGGTGGAGTATTTTGATAGAAAAAAATTGGGGTAACTTTTATCAATTTCTTTTTTAGCTCGCTGTAAAAATATCCCTGGTGTAAGTAGTTTTTCTTTCATGAAGATGAATCAATTAGTTATTAAAGATCACTGAAAGCTTTTTTTTTTTTACCAAGTTTCTCTGATTTCTGGGACAACAGCTATACTGAGGGAGACAACTGCATGTTCTGTTTCTGCCACATCCACATGCATTTAGGCAGTGAAGATTGAGAGGATGTGTACAAATTACACTGAGTGGCTTCTGTGCATGATAATAAATACAGGTAAAGTGCTTTGGGATCCTTTATGAATGCATGTAGTACTTCTGATGGGAAACTTGCCAGAGGTGAACGAATTGAGTGGTCCTGTGAGAGCAACCCATGAAAGCCTCAGGATTTTCCCATGATGTACCATAAGCTAAAGGATATTTGTTAGGATCTGATCTGATCTTGGATATATGTATACACACTCGCCTCTCTTTTATCTTCTCTTTTTCTTGCCCTGGATTATTTTCTACCAACCAATTTTATTTTCATGCCTCTCTCTAATTGGTGATATATGCATATGCTGTATGTACGTGGAGCCAGCTTGAAGAAGGACCGTTGTAATTATAGAATGAATGCCAGAGCACGAAGAGAGGGGTGGTGGAAAACGGGGCACTTAAATACATAGTTTCTGCAACAAAGAAAATTTTCCCAGCAATAAATTGGTGTCTTCCAAGAAACTTTTTAGGCTGTTCTGTTTTCCCTTGGAACCCCACCATCCCCTCTTTTTTTTGTGTTAAGTTGGTAGAAAGGCAGAATCTCTCAAACTTTATGACTTGTCATTTCCTGGTACAGCAGCTTTACACAGAAGCACTGATCGAGTCATGGAGTGCTGAGCACTCTCTCTACCTCACTTCCTCTAGAATTCCCTAAAGCATCACAAAACTTGATTAGTCCAGACACTGAAGTCTCCTGGAGACCGAATTAATTTTTACCTGCAGATTTTTCCGGAGAGGAGTGGCAGATGCTTAGATTAACCATTTTTTAAATTGAAAAATAATATATGCTTATAGATTAAAAAAACATATAGGAAAAGTAAAATGAATTTCCCCCAGGTTGACCACTTTAACAGTTTTTTGTGTAACCTTCTAGACATTTCCATGTGGAAATACACTTCTAAGTTTTTTTACAAAAATTACATTATACCTATAGTTTTATTACACAGAACATCTTAGACATTCTTCTTTGTCAATAACACAGACTTAATTTGATGCCTCATTTTGTCCAAAATATTTGTCAGATACCCTCTTTTCTTTCAGACTAGTAGTTCTTAAACTTTAGTGTGCATGAAATCACCAGGAGGACTTATTAAAATGCAGCATTAGGCCACCCCCAGAGTTTCTGATTCAGTAGACCAGGGGTGACTTGAGGCTATACTAGACCTTGGCTACGTTCTTTCTCTCTCGTTTTGATTTTTTTTCATTCTTTTGAGCAAATAGCCTAAAGACCCCTTGTGAATAAGTCCAAGTGATTTCAACTTTGAAAAAAATGCAATACATAAAAATCCATGCTTACAAAGCAAATAAATTGAGCCACGGTAGCAAAGGAGTAGGGGAGGGGGAAGGGAGGTCTAATGAGGAGTCAGGTCAGGCTGCCTAAGAGGACAGGAATCCTTTAAACAGTCATGTCCAACAGGGAAACAGCAAAGCTAAAAATAGGGAATGGAGGCCTCCTGATCAGGATTTAAGAGGCTGATCAAGGTCCATGCCATGGTCCAAGAGTGGGCTGAGTTATAAAACCAGAGGAAGAGGAGACATCAAATCCTAGACACTAGGGGTGAACCTGCGGACAGGAATCGGAGCCAGTGCTGGTTGGTAAATGAGGCACAGGGCCAGAGGAAGTTGTGTGCATGCAGGTTGCCACGGTGAGCCCTGTTTCAAAGGGAGCATACCTCCAGAAATCTAGAACTTTGTATACATTGGAAAGAGATTGCTTTTAATAACAAACAATGTCTATTTTATTTAATTGGAAGTGGTCTTTCCAGTTCATAAGGCATCCTAGTGTATTTGACATGACACAGTTTGCAAACATTTTTTTCAGCCAAACTTTCCAGGAACATTTATTGCACAAAGTAGGATTTTTGTCTGTAGATTTCTTATATTTATGATAGACTTTAGGAAAATTAAAAGATGTAATTTTTCAGGATGTATGTGTCTGTCTATATCTGGATCTTTAAGAAATTTAAAGTATTCTGAGTTCTTTATAGCTTGCCTTTTAGTGACTAGGCAGTTATCTTTCACAGTTTACCTGGAAACTGAAGCTTAGAAAATACATTAATTCTTTTCCCTTCCCTCTCCCTGCCCAGTCTCTCAGAAAGCATTGAACCAAAAGCATAATATGCTATAAGCTCATTTAAACTAGCCTCTTACTATGCAGTTAATAACAGCCACCTTCTCTCTTACATATTGGTTATTTTTCATTTCATCTAAGATATGCTGTTTATTGTTTCCTATGGCTAGCATGCTTGAAACAGTTAAAAACACAATTGTGTATCTCAAATTCATACTAATGTTATAAGAAGTTATTCTTTTTAAAAAGTGTCTTCAGACTTGAACCAAGTGGTTCACATTATTTTGTCTGAATGAAGTGGCATTAAACATGGAATGTTGTCATACTAAGGCTGCCTAAAATATATCAGGTTTTTTCCTCATTTTCTTCAATTTCTAAAGGTGTTCATACTGAAGTGTGAAACGAAAGATTTGTCTAGCAACATAGAATTAGTTAAATAGATCTGATAATTATTGTCTTATTTTTATTTAGCATATACATAGAATTTTATAATTACAAGAGAATTTTACAATCCTTTTTAAATAGCTCATATCATTGAAGTGGAACACAGCCCACTTCTTCACTCTTATGCTAATGAGACTCTTGCTAAAATGACAGGTTTTGTATGCACAAATAGGAATGGATATATGCAAAATTTAACTTGAATTCTTAGTAGTAGTGTCCTGTCATTCGCCAGAGTCAAGCCAGGCCTGGTGCTGGTCCTTGCCATGCCACCAGACAGAAGCATTTACTGAGGCCGTGTTTGTTCCACCAACTGAAACAGGGAATTGAAGTGCCTCACTTATCAAGTCGATTCATTCAGAAGTGTTCCTTTGGTTAAAAGGTCATTACAATTATTGATCTGTTTTTGCACTTTTCATAAAAAAGAAGTAAATAGTAATCTTACAGAGCGTGAATTGTGTTTATTTTATCTCTGTATCTTCAAGCCCTATTAGCATGGTATCTGGCACAAAGTAACAGATAATGCATTATCTTATTACAACACCTATGAAAATAAATATTGTTTGTCCTGTTTTATGGATGAGCAATCCAAGACTTAGAGGGGTTAACTAGCTAGCTAGCCGGTAAGTGTGGAGACCAGGACTTAACTTCAGATTTCTCGTACTCTATGTTCTCCTTCCCTACACTATTGTTGAGCACATGGATATACACATATATATAGCACATGTACATACATCCAGCCTGTCATCCCTAACAGCACGACTCTTCATTGACTATTTTTCCCTCCTTCCATTCTTTTCCCTCCCTTTACTGGATCCTGCAGCCACAGTTCCACACAATCCTAGAGTCCCAAAACTGGAAAATAGCCTTTTCCAATAGAAAATGTGGGACAATGGCAAAGGAGCCATGCCAGCCCCAGAGCATTTAGTGCCAGCTCAGTGAAAAACTCAGGCAGTGCTCAGTATCTCCCCTTTATTGATGGAGGACACCAAATGGGAAAATATATGTGTTTTCTCAGGTTCTGTCTAAGCCCTGAGGCATGGAATCCCTGCAGAAGCAAATGTGGCCCCTTTTTATCCTCTACAGACCCATGGGCAGTGGGAAGAGGAGAAAGGGGCTTGCTGCTGTCCTTCCTCATCTCCCTGACTTTATCAAAACAAAACAACTTCCCCCTTCCCTATCCCCCAGTTACAAAAGTAATAGATGTTCTCTGTAGAAAAATGTGGAAAATACAGACAAGTACAAAGAAGGCAGAAAAAAATCAGCTATTTTTCTGCTGTCTGCAATGGTTCGTAGACTCTGGATATTTTTAAAAATACAGATTCTTGAGCCTCACCCAGCACATCTAGTTTGGTAATTCTGACATCTGCTTTTTTAATATGCAGCCTGGATTATTGTGATGCACATGGTGAATATATCACACCTTGGGACACACCTATGAAAAACCTGGTTAATATTATGGTGCTTCATCTTTCAGATAGAAAATGTGCTTTGCCTTTCAGATGGAAAAAGTTATATATATGCATATTTAACTATTATGTGTATACACACATACTGTTTGTATACTACTTTTATCACCTGTTATCATTCCTAATAAGTGCATACATTTTTATCGTTTGCATCTACTTCCAAATTTGACCCCAATTTAGAGAACTAAAATCCTGAAGACCAACCTGCCATTATTACCAAGTGAAAATTTTACCTAATAAGGCATTTTTGGTTTCTTCCTAATAAGCAGATTCTGTGAGGTATATTTCTTCTTTTTCTGGGTTGGTTTTTTTTTTTCCCCCTAAGCAAGCATGATAGAGTCACAGTCTGAGGCACAGTGGTAGCCGAGTTAATGCACAGTAAAATACAGTCACGCAGTCAACCCCAAACTCTCTGTTTCACAGCATCTACCTCCCCACTGGTCAAGGCGTCTCATGTGATGTGACTGAATGAATAAATGTAGGGTTCAGTGGGAAGTCTTAGGCCATCTGCTCCAATCTACCCCTACACACACAGACACTCACACACTTTATAGATGAGGAACTGAGGTGCCAAGAGAGTAAAAGTTCGTGTCTGAGGCCACCCAGGCAGTTTTGGCAGAGCTGGAGCAGGTAGATAGCTCTTATGAAGGGCTACAGCTCTGTAGTTTTCCCCAGTAGAGAGAAGTTTTGTTCATGTGGCAAAGATGTGGAAAAACTGGAACCTTCATAGATTTCTGGTGGGAATGTAAAATGGTGCAGTCACTTTGGAAAGCAGTTTGGCAGCTCTTCAAAAGGATAAACAGATGCCATATGAGCCAGCAATTTTATTCCTGAGTATATACCCAAGAGAAATGAAAACATATGTCCACACAAAAGCTGCACCCTTATTCATACTATACAAAATGGGTAAACAACACAACCAATGACAGGATAAGTAAAATATGGTATATCCATACAACGGAATACTATTTGGCAATAAAAAGAAATGAGTTACTGAAAACCCAACTATTGCATAATCCCACTTATATGGAATGTCCAGAATAGGCAAATTTATAGAGAGAGAACGTAGACTCATTGTTGCCTGGGACCGAGGGAGATGGAGGAACGTGGATGGCGGATGACTGGAATGGACGAGGAGTTTCCTTTTGGGTTGATAAAACTGTTCTAAAGTTGATTGTGGTAGTGATTGCACAACTCTGTGAATATACTTAAAAAAAACCAGCTGAATTGTATACTTTAAGTGGATGAGTTGTATGATAATGTGAATTATATCTCAATAAGGCTGTTGAGAGAGAGATTTACTATTTGAGTCAAATTTTTTCAGCCCTTCACTTGAAGTGTCAGTTGTGAATAGTCTTTTTCTTTCTCTTTGCTCCCCTAGACAAGGAGGAAGGTCAGAAACCTGCTGTTAGCCTCAGTCGGAGGAGGCAGTATTTGACAGTTATTAAAAGCTCAGGCTCTAGAATAAGACTGCGCTGGGACAGGTCCCACCCAGTGTTGATAGCTTTGAGATCTTGGGCAGGTTTTTTGCTTAAATTCTCCATTTTCCAGGGTGGTGGTGGTGGTGGTATTTTCAATAGCAAAATAGAGAATAATAGTACATTCTTCATATGGTTATTAGGAAGATTAAATGAGAACATCCATTTAAGGTGCTTAGTACAATAACCTGTAAGTGGTGGCTGCTTTTTCCTAGTCCTGAGAACCACCACTTGCAGAAGACAGGCAGGAGTATGTGGGGGACTCCCCCACAGCCCCAGCCCTGGCCCCAACCCCATTGTTCAGGAGACCTAATTCCTGCAAAGACAAATATTTTGATCAATTAACACTTCCCAGGGTTAGTGACACGCAGATTGCAGGTTTTAAAGGGCCCTCGCTACCTCTTCAAATGATAATGACATGAAAATTGAGTTAAATTTTCATAGTTGGGCCCTCTTGGTGTTGCTCTTGGCTGACTGGCTGACGCTGGGCCCTGTGCCGGCTGCCTTGCCTGAAGTTAGTTCAGTGTAGATCTCTTATTTGTTCACATCAAGGCAGTCTGCCTTAGGACTGTGCCACTGTGTGTCCATATAGTCCCAATAGAAACAGGAACTCAATGCAAATCAATTACATTTATTATTACGGAGCAAATTCTAGTGAGCAAATTCTAGTTAGCAAAACTGCCTGGTGCCAAATTAAAAGAAATTAAGAGTCACAATAGAAATTGTGTGCCATTGAAGAGACACATCAGAAGATATATCCCCACTTTAAAGTAAACACCACTGAAATTCTTGTTCCCTTTTTATTCCCCCTTCCCCCTGCAGCTTCACCCTTTGGTTAGTCTCTTCCTATAGGAGCCGCAGAGCTCCTAATTGAAGCACTGTGGAAATCGGCTCTGGGCTTTTTAACACTAGGGCTGGACACGGTTTCTAAGCTGCCTGGTGAGCTGGAGCATTGTTAGAAAGCAAAGGGATTGAGCTTTAAATGGCTTAATAAAATTAATACATTGTGATGTCCTTCTCCCCCTGCTCCAGCTCCTCGAGGCGCTGATAGAAGACTTGATAATTTACTCTCTGCCAAAGCTTGAAGGGCTGATTACGTGGCCAACATGGAGAAGGGAGTGGGGCTGTCAGAACTCCCCCATACCAGCCACGCTTCACATTTCCAGTGCAGGATTGTATTTGACATTTAATTTAGGAGTCTCGATGTAATACTTTACTGCGATAATAGTGATAAAAACCACCCAGACTTTTATTTAAGGGCCTACTTCTCCCCTGTCCCTCTCCTTTCCCCTTTCCTGTTAGTTTAACCTTTCATTCAGCTAGGAAATAAAACTGAGGTTTTCTCAAGGAAAAAGGTGTTTTCTTTGCTATCTTAAGGTTAAAGCTATACAGTGCAAGTCTCAGCCTACCTCAGGTCTTATGTAGATGCTTGTATGTATATATACAGTCTTCCCTCTATATCCGCAGGGATTGGTCCTAGGACCTCCATGGATACCAAAATTGAAGGATGCTCAAGTAAGTCTCACATAAAATAAGCTATATGCATATATATTTGCATATAGCTTATCCACATCTTCTGGTATACTTTAAATCATTTCTAGATTAGTTGTTACACTGTACAACCATACCATGTTTTATTGTGCTTCTGCTTTATTGTGCTTCATAGATGTTGGGTTTTTTACAAATTGCAGGCAAGACCCTCTACCAGCAAAAAGATTACAGCTTGCTTTATTGCAATATTTGTGTGGAGAAGGAACAAACTTTCCTCTATCTTCAAGATTCGCCTGGTTGGTCTAAAAATCAAATGGACACGAGACAGATTAGCAAGAGAAAAGAACCAAATTTAATACCTACATATGTATGGGAACCCTGCGTACATGAGAGAGTCAGAGACCCCACATGCAGGAAAGGTTCAGAGATAGAAAGGGAGGATTGAGGTTTATAAGATATTCTGAGCTAGGCATGAGGTAGGGTACGTTGGGGGCTTCAAAGGGTCTTTGCAGGGTGATTAGAAGAGCAGATGTTTAGTAAATAAAAGTTTGCCCTGCTATATAGGTAGGTTGAAAAGGTTATCACTGATAATTTCTTATGGGCAAGACCCCTAATTCAAGCTCTTCTAGGTAGTTAAAGGGAGGGGCAGAAATTTTTCTTGAGCCTGAAGCTAAAATTGCCTTTAGCTCAGAACAATTTGCATACCACAGAAACACATCTTGGAGTGACTCTTTCTGAATCTCCCCCACCTACTTTATTGCAGTGGTCTGGAACTGAATGTGCAATATGTCCAAGGTATGCTTGTATTCTTTAGGGGATAATGACAAAAATAAGTCTGTATGTATTCAGTACAGACGCAACCATCATAGGCCTAACAACATAGTATACACCAGCAGGAAAATAACAATTTTTTTCCAAATATTTTTGATCCCTTGTTGGTTGAATCTGAGGATGCAAAACCCTAGGTACAGAGGGTCAACTGTAAATATAAAATTTAAGAACCACGCCTCTTACCTGATTGATTCTGTATTTAGCAAAATGGCGACATCCATCTGGTCTCTGTGGCTATGTAAAGAACCTCCATTCAACCCAGTGACCCAGCTGATGACCTTGTTGAATGGCTTGTTTACTGCTATAGTAGGTGAAATAGATTCTGTGATACCGCCTTAATTTCTAACTCAACCTGTTTGTTAGACATTATAACCCTCACTTTACAGATGAAGAAACAGAGGTTTAAGAAATTCAATGACTTGTCCAAGGCCATAGGGCTAATGAAGCCAATACGTTGCCTTTCTGTGATTACTAAATAGAATTATTAGGAATATATATAGAATATATATGATTGCTATATAGAATAGCTATAGGAAGTTATTAACTTTTTACCTATAGAAAATGTTTTGGGAGTAGAACACCAATACAGAGTTTGTTCAGACTTTAGGGGGGGAAATTATTTTTAGTATGACACAATTTCCTTTTACAGTGAAAAAAGATAGACATTGGAGTCAGATGACCTGAGTCTATGTAATGGCACCTCTCTCTATCACTTGATTTGTCTGAGCCTTCAGTTTCATCTATGAAATAGGACTAATCATATTATTAGTATATACCTTGAAAACAAATTTTTGCAGAGATAAGACATGATGGATAATGATTGGTGTCATGGCTTTAGAGGCCTGAAAAGTATTTTATCAACTGTAGTTAGTTAACAAGTCCTGAGGTCCTTAGATAAGCAGATGATTAGCTTAAGTGGGTATAATAGGGTTTCAGTTTGCAAAAGAGAAAAGTGAGTGTTCAGTGTCATCAACAGGTTTTCCAACTTCAAGCAAAACAACGTAAAACGAGACCAGTTTTATCATAGGCTATTTGATAGAAACAAGAGTTAGGCTTCTATGGCATCTCAGTTACATTATATTGAAATGACACTGAACGGAATGACAGTATTTGAGCACCTACTGTATGGGAGAGGCAAGTGGTGAGATTGAGGCGCTGACTACAGGCTGTGTGTAGGTGCTGAGGAGCAGAATGTGACCCGACTTTCTGTGAAGTAGACCATGTCCGATCTTATCAAACTAGAAAAGGTAGCCATATCTCCCTGACAGTCTGTGGCCATTTACTGAAATTGAGGTAAGGAGCTACTGATTGACATCCTTACTCTTCAATGCCTAGGAAGTGTGAAAAAGTCCTTCCTGTTTTCCTTTGGGAAAGTAGTCTGCACTCCCGAGGGTGTAGACTCTTTCTCTTAATTGGGAGCTCTCTGTCTGTGAGGACTCAGTGGGTATCACATGAGAAGCACCCAATAAATGTTCATGGTGACTATTATTTGCATCAGTTTTGCTGATGTCCCTATACGCCCAAAGGGTACTAAGTTCTTTCCACATATTGTTTTCTGTAAATGTTACAAAGATATCTGTGAGAACAATATTATTACCCTATTTTAAAAATGAAGAGACTCTTACCTTTCTGAGCTGCAGAGCGTAGTTAGCAGAGGCAGTCACTACTCAAACTTCTTTTCTCTACTACAGCAAACTACGAGCTTTACTGTTTTCTCTGTAGCAAAAAAGAGGCAGAAAACATGAGACCTACATGTCAGTGCTCTTTTCTGATTATTCCTAGTGGTGGGCAGTTGTTTGGGTTTGTGGTTTTGAAAGTTTACAAATAGCTGTAGCTTTGCAGGGAAGGTGTTTAGGTAGAGAGAATGGACTGGAAGTGGAGGGGGATTACTTTAATCTTCAGTAGATAAAATAGCCTTTCTTTGTATATTCAAGTCTAAGGTGCTTAAAATAGCATAATTTCTTTTTATTTGCCCCCTGAAACTGTCAGTGTTCGTTTTCACCTCCCACTTCCTACACAATAATTCCTGAAGCAGAAGCTGTCTTTCTAGCTTATGCCCAGGTTAAGGTGAAAAGAAAGCAAGAAAATGAGGTGGATTAGAAGCTCTCACTCTTATTCTTGTTTGTTACAGATCCTGGGTTTCTCTGGGGACTCATTTTTCTACTTTCACATTTCTACAGGGGAGTTACCCAGAATTTTTTCCTGCCCACTCAGAAAAAGTGATGCTCAGAAGTTTGTGATTGCTTTCTTTATTGCCACCCAGGGGTCAGGCAAAGAGAGAGGCATCTTAAGAGCAAGCAGTAGTATTGATTCAAAGTGAGTCCTATATCCCATCGAACTGTTCTCTGGTGCATCCAGTTCAGTGCCATGACATTGGGTTACACATCAAGTTGTCATGACAATAAAGTCATAGCAGCCGACAGCATGAATGAGCAGCCTTGGAAGGAGAGGATGCTTGGCACTAGTTCCATAGCCATAGTGGTTAGATTTCCATCTCTTACACTAAGAGCTGCTTGTCATTCTGCTGTGACTATGTCTCCCTCAGATGACTGGGAACACACAGTTGCTTTCCACTTCACAGCTGATTAGCAGATTCAATTCAAGTGTTTATTAGGATCTTTCAAGTACAAAGCCTCTAGGAAACATGGCCCTAAGCCTCTGATGTTGTGTGTATGCACACATATGTGTTTGCACGTATATTTATGTCTGTATGTGAGGAAGAGATAACCATGAAAGGAAAGAGATTCAGAAGAAGCATATTATAGAGTCATATGCATGATCATGTTAAAGAGCAGTCAAGTACTTAGGCTCAAGAACCAAAATTTATTGTCTGAGGAAGAAGCACTCTGATAGAAATAGAAGGCTGGACTATTCTGGCTGAAATATGGGGTTCCCAACTGAGGGAACGCTATTCTGAGAGTCAAAGTCAAACCAAAGACTAGATAAGACAATATAAGGTCCAAACACGAAAGAGTAGGGAATTAGGGGCACATGTAGTTACTAAGTCTGAAGGGCAAAAGGTCAAGGGGTTTGAGGTCAAGTATAGAAACCAAGAATTCTATAGCCAAATGAAAATGAAAAGGAGAGGAAGCTGTCCTAGAACAAGTTGGAAGTAAGATAAGGATCCTAAACAGTTTCTTTAAATCACCCAGAAACTCTTTGTGACTTAGAATTTCATTTCAGCTTAGTGGTACAAGCAAGTGGGATTGGATTAAAGGGCCTAGGTGGGGTGGGCAGGTGATATTGAGCATCTTTCCTGTGCTTATTTGCCATCTGTGTATCTTCTTTGGTACAATGTCTGTTCACATTTTTTACCTATTTTTAAATTTGGTTGTTTGTGTTCTTATTGTTGAGTTTTAAGTGTTTTTTGTATGTTTTGGATAACAGTGTTTTATCAGATGTCTTTTGCAAATATTTTCTCTTAGTCGCTGGCTTGCCTTCCCATCTTAACAGTTTCACAGAGAAATTTTTAATTTTAATAAAGTCCAGCTTATCAATTATTTATTTCATGGATAGTGCCTTTAAAATTACACCTAAAAAGTTGTCATCTTACCCAAGGTCATGTGGATTTTCTTCTATGTTATCTTCTAGGAGTTTTATAGTTTTGCATTTACATTTACGTCTATGTTCCATTTTGAGTTAATTTTTGTGAAAGATGTAAGGTTTGTGGCTAGTTTCTTTCGTGTGTGTGTGTGTGTCTCCCCAGTGGTTTCAGCACCATGTGTGAAAAACACGTCTTCTCCATTGTTATTGCCTATTCTCCTTTGTTCAAGATGAGTTGATTATTTGAGGTCTGTCCAGAAAATGTCCAGCCATAGTTAATATAACAAGAATAGTTTGTGCAACACTGACATAACCTGGCAGCCAAGGAGAGTGGACTGCAATGTGCGTACATGAACAGTGATGACTTTACTGAGTACAGTCAGTGGGGGTGGTAGACACTGTTGAGTGGGCATGTGTCCTGTGTGGCTCTCACATTCAAAATGAGCAAACAGAACAACGAATCTGTGTCAAATTTTGCTTGAATATTGAACATTCCTCCATGGAAACTATTTGGATGATTCAGAAGGCTGTAGTTATGGGCAACTGGTGATTGGCAGCCTCGTCACGACAATGTGCCTGCTCATGTATCATGTCTCATGTAGAGTTTTTTGCCAAAACGTCAAATTACCCAGGTGACTTAGCCCCCTGGG